GGAATTTAAGCAATCTGTCACCTTTCGGAAATCAATTTACTCATGACAGATTGCAAAACAATTATTTTATCTACTAAATAAACTGTAAAATTCTTTTTTATTTCGGCCTTTTTGTTGGCTAATTCTAGGCGAGATCGGCTTGACACTTTGCTATGACACAGGTATTAAATTATTTTTACGTTTTAGAATCTTGTTTATTTTGTTTCGGCTTCACCTAATCTTCCTATTGTTAAAAACTCAAAACGGAAATTTAGCTAATTGACTTCATCACCTTTCGGCTCTTTGATAATGTAAGTAATCAGTGTCAGGCCTATCAAAAGAAATTGCCGACTTACCTGCAGTAATTTTTGTAACAAGCTTCCTGATTGGTCAAGAGTTCAATTCCGATGTAGAGTCCGGATAGATTGTGAATTTAGCAAATTCACTTTCTATCTGCTGACTTTACAATAAACATCGTTCAACTTTAATCGGAATTGTTTCTCTTTGCCAATTTAGGTAAGCTTGTGTTATTTTATTTGAAAGTTAAAGATTAGATTTAATTTCATTATAGTTATTTTTAATTAATGTTTTAATGATTTCCTATAAAGTATTCTTGAGACGGAATTAGGATAAATTACTTTGTTCATTTGGCTTACACTTCATTTTTAAATATCTGAAATGTTTTATTAATTTCAAATTGCTGGTTTCATTTAATGTTCAAATAATGTTTAAAATTATATAATAACATTACTAGCAATCATTTCTTTGTTGAATTACTCACGAAATAGTGTTTTTGGAATTTTTCTATTTGTATAAATTTTTGGCAATTTAATTTTACCGCTTATGAATTATGTTCCCTGTTCGGAACTCTCTAGTCAGAGAAGGTAAATAAATTTTCCCGAAGTTTTGTAAACATTGTCTTTGGAGTTAAATGTTTGTAAGTTTTCTGATTTTATTGTCTACTTTTGATTTTTAACTTTTGTAACTTTAAAAACTGTTGTAAGCGCTTTGCATGACTGATTTCACGTAACTGATCGATCTTTATTTGTTGTTTTAGTAATCATACCTACTCTTAGCGGGTTTCGCTACAGGTTATTTCAAAAGTTATTTACTTATCTGACATTGTTTATTCGATAATTACTTGTACCTGTTTATTATAATTTTTTTTGTGTAACAACTTTTATAAAATTCACTTTCTATCTGCTGACTTTACAATAAACATCGTTCAACTTTAATCGGAATTGTTTCTCTTTGCCAATTTAGCATAACAGTAGAAAAAGCGAGTAGCTATCCTACCAGGCTAATTTCCCCAAACTTCACAGACGAAAAAGTCACTGTGAAAAATGTCATATACAAATTTAAATTGAAAAATTCTAAATTTTTGTATAGGACAGATTATCACGATGAAAATTTTACTGTTATAAGAGATTTTTCTAGTTTCTAAAATTAAGTTACTGTTTTGTGTTTTTTTGAACAACTCTTTCAAAATTCTTGAGCTTTTCAAATCATTTTCTTTATTGAATTTACGACTCTTAATCTTTATTGAATTAAAACATCGGCGATTTCAGATAATCCAAGCCAATTGGGTTTAACACCTGTCATCGTTTGATATTGCTAAATTATCTTTATGCAAAATAACATCAAAAGGACGATAATCTGGCCCTCAATTATTTTAAGGGTTTACTCAAGTGTCAAAACCTTTATCTATTTATCTCCAAATGTCATTTTTACACATGTCACTCTATAATTGTTATATATACTGTTGAATTTGTTTTGGATGAGCAGTCGGAATCGGACAGCCGTCCCGAGTACACCGACCTGTATCAAAATTTGTCAGTTCCATATTAAAAGTTAAAACGCTGGTTGGAGTTTGTCTCTAATCTGTTTAATAAGACTCATAGATAGAAAGGAGCGCAGATCGTGGCTGACAGAATCCGTGAGCGGCATCGTCAGGGAACTCAAAGAGAAGTTCTTCAAGCGAGAAATAAGACGTTCATATTTCTACATAGTCTTATTTTAGCACAGCCTGAGTGTTGATCGGGCGAGATAAATTTTTTTTTTAAATTGTGCTAATTGGTGGAGAATCCGGGTACAACACCACCTCTCATGAAGCTAAGCGAGTATTCCCCAAATCTCAAAGTTTCCGAGGACGACCAGCTTTAACATTGGACTGGCATGCAGTTCCGACCACAGTGGCAGGTTTCAGCGCCGCTTTGCAGCAGATGTAACAGACGGCATTACTCCGTCTGCAACGCCTTGGAGAAACGCTGCCATAGATGTGGAGAAGAGGGACACTTTAGCAGAGTGTGCGGAGAACGTTCGTGCCGCGCTGTAAAATCGGATGCAAAGAGGAAAAGGGACACCGAACGACTGCAGGATTACAACAGCAGGAAAAGGTTGTTCCGGGTACTTCCGTTTGCAAACATAAGTGATTCCAAATTTAAAGAGTGTGTCAATTTAAAGTCAGTGTTTTCATCAGAAGTTCAGTCCGTGGTAAAAGATCTCCAATATACAAAAGCGCTAATGAAAATGGACATTGAAATCCTAGAATGGAAATTGCAGAAACAGTCAAAGTCGAACGAGGAAAAAGATCAACAGATAAAACTGTATTCTACATACTTAAACTATGCCGTGTCAGATCTAAAGAAACTTTCCGGACTTGTTTCCCATTACAACTGGCTTCTGGAAAATTATGAAATGGAACACATCGTACTGCGATCAATCAAACAGAACTGTATGTGTAAAAGAGATGTTGAAAACAGTAAACTTGTCCGAAGGGAATATAGACAGTTTAAAGATTCTGAATTATACAAAGAAATTTTGAACACTAAATTTTGAATATTTACTATTGCACAATGTTAATTTTATATTTACATGTGTATATTTTTTTTAAGTTTGAGGACAAACTTTTTGTGGCAAGGGGAGAATTGTCATATACAAATTTAAATTGAAAAATTCTAAATTTTTGTATAGGACAGATTATCACGATGAAAATTTTACTGTTATAAGAGATTTTTCTAGTTTCTAAAATTAAGTTACTGTTTTGTGTTTTTTTGAACAACTCTTTCAAAATTCTTGAGCTTTTCAAATCATTTTCTTTATTGAATTTACGACTCTTAATCTTTATTGAATTAAAACATCGGCGATTTCAGATAATCCAAGCCAATTGGGTTTAACACCTGTCATCGTTTGATATTGCTAAATTATCTTTATGCAAAATAACATCAAAAGGACGATAATCTGGCCCTCAATTATTTTAAGGGTTTACTCAAGTGTCAAAACCTTTATCTATTTATCTCCAAATGTCATTTTTACACATGTCACTCTATAATTGTTATATATACTGTTGAATTTGTTTTGGATGAGCAGTCGGAATCGGACAGCCGTCCCGAGTACACCGACCTGTATCAAAATTTGTCAGTTCCATATTAAAAGTTAAAACGCTGGTTGGAGTTTGTCTCTAATCTGTTTAATAAGACTCATAGATAGAAAGGAGCGCAGATCGTGGCTGACAGAATCCGTGAGCGGCATCGTCAGGGAACTCAAAGAGAAGTTCTTCAAGCGAGAAATAAGACGTTCATATTTCTACATAGTCTTATTTTAGCACAGCCTGAGTGTTGATCGGGCGAGATAAATTTTTTTTTTAAATTGTGCTAATTTGTTTGTTTTAAAATGTCCACATTATAGTACATTAAGACAAAATTCCATAAGAAAGCTTCTACTTCCGAAGACCAAGCGTCTTCAACTTAGTACAATTACTTAGTACACAGAATATTAAAGAATTGTGTAATTTGGGAATTTATGTCCAGTATGCATAAAAGATAAACATGGTGTTAATATACCCCTTGTACCAATATTTTGGTTTGGGTTAATAAATTGTACTTGAAACGAAGCCTGTTTCGTTAATGCACGAGCATTTTAACTCTCTGATAGCCAATCAACATGTTTTATGAAAAGTGAAAATCCCACGCGTGGACTGAAAACAAGCATGTCATTTCATGGCCGTAGGAACCGGAAAGGGGGGGGGGGCACAATAATTTTGCCGATATATAGATATATAGATTACTAAAGTAAACATAGATACTATATGCTTGTGCCCTCTAAATTTAATAAAACCTAGTTTAAAAACAATTACCGGTAAGTCAAAATGGGGCACCTAAAGCCGATCGCGAGTTATAGTTGATGCAATATAAACTGTTTTTTTTTTTCACTGTAAAATTGTAATTTGCTATTTCAATGTAATTATTAAAGAGAAAAAAATCAATATTTTTGCATTTTATAATTGCGATGGGAAAAAAATTGATTAAGGCATAATTACATCGTACAAAATTGAAATCACAGATTTTTTTTTCTGGTAATATTTCAATCTTATTAGTCATTAAGGGAATTACGTTCTTCAAAAAAACTTTAAGCAACATTGCGTAACTAAAATAACATCTAGGTGCAAACATGTTTTTAATGGATAACCATGATAACGTTTAAAAATATAAATATCAAAGAACAAAATCAATTATCAATACGTTGAATCGGGCTCGATGTTCGACGTAACGATGTGCATATGCTGTGACGTCATATCGAAGGTCGAGAGAATGACTCAATGAGGTTGACATGTATGCAGTGTACATTCAATATTATAGGCTATTAAATGGCGATAAATCGAAATGTTTTATGTGTATATTAAATTGTAACCATGAATTAGCGGAAGGTGTAGAGAAAAATACAGTCACGTAAAAATTAAGAGTGATATTGTTTTAATTTAATAGTAAATCCAGAGGAGTTCTGATGACGTTCCCCATAAAAATGAATGATAAAAAACATTCCCCATAATTTTCGAATACATACTGAAACGACAGATAGGTTATTTTTAAGATAAGAAAGGAGAGAAAGCAACAAAACAGGTATTTTCTATAATAATTGTCCATTATTGAAATAAAAACATATTAGGAAAACACTTTCCCCACAACATATTCCAGGCGTCCAATTCCTCACAAGTCGGTTATGATGGGTAAGAGAGAGAGAGAGAGAGAGAGAGAGAGAGATTTCTAAAGTAAACGTCATATATTATGTGTTTCAGCTATCATCCGTTCATCATCTTTGATTTCCTCATTATCAATCTTCGGAGGTTTTGATCTTTTTTCTGAAAAGTTGAAATATTGTTTGATTTGTAACTGATGCATATATTTTTATTGTATATTTCCGGAATACTTCAAGCAACTTGCATTCAAACTTTAACGAAGAGAAATTGTAGATGACCAAAAAAAAAGAGTAATTGTAGGTTTCAACTACATGTAAATACATACCATGTTTTCTTTTGTAAAATACCACTGCAAGTGCTGATAGCAGAACAGCAATATGGCAAAGTACTGACACAGTTATAACTGTCTCCTTATCATTGCTTGCTACATCATACCTGAAGTTTGAGAATGAAATATTAAAAGAGCAGAAATACGCAAAAAATGTCATGTATACGTAACCGGTTATTGCTTTTACTCAAAAAAGTTTTCATTCGTACATTTTACAGGTTGTTAATTTCAACATAGAATTGAAATGCCTGTACTCATTCTTTTTTGCATTAATTTTTTATTTTTCATTACACAAGGCATCAGTAACACTTTCCTGAGTAAACACCATTAAAAATAACTCGAATTAATATCAGTGCAACTTATAAAGGCATAAGAAGTTAAGAACATTGTTCCAAAATGGCTGACACTGGAAATGATTACGAAGGGTTCGTAAACAATTTATAGGATATTATGAATGAAAATATCATACGTCCTCTTGTTGTGTAGAAGCGATTCTTTCTTCTGAGTCTCCACTAGCCTGTAACATCCTTGGTCTGAAATTTTCCCGGTAATGAAAGAGATGTGAAATTAAAATACAAATTAAACTAAACAAAAAAAATCTTCAAATTATTTTATTTGTATGCTTTTATTAACGTTCATAAGAAATTTGGCAAGTGATACCAAGGTGATGTATCCGCATTTCTTAAGAAAACAGTTAGTTATTGAAAATATGAACCTTTGGATGTTTAATCTCATTTTATTTATTTATAGTAAATTTGCTTTCACTTCTATATTTTGGAAGCATTTTATTTAGAATTACAGTTCTTTTTAAAGAGAAAGCAATCAGTTCAGTTCGAATTCATGCAGAAAAGTGTATGCTAATAGAATAACAGAATAAAACTCAGCCAATACTTACACGATTTTTACATAATAAGCAAATTTCATTCATTAAAAAATTACGTAGAATTATGCTAGTCCATTCTGAGTAATAAAATCATCCTTCCAATTACTTACATAGGTATGCTTCAGAAGATAAATATCTTGGCGGGCAAGGATTGGAGAAGGTTCTACACGGTGCATTAAAATTGTCCTGAATTCTTTCTCCTTGTAGGTTGTATTCCGCACAAAATCCTGTTCAGAAACCATCATTGTATAGAATCTTAATGAATTCATTGTTATCCCTAAATTTCAAAATATTGTTGTATATTTTAGAACGTTTTTGTAAATAAAGGAAATCGTACCTATACAAAACCAAGTCGGTGCACAGACTTCTATGTTCGCATTCATGAGCGAATTTATTACACAATGGTGCTGAAAGTTTTCTGACTCAGCACAGTTTTGCTTGATTCCCGAGCAATTTTTTCTCAGGGCAGCATCCATCCACTCTTTTCGTGTTCCTGGACAACGGTCAACGTATTGGAATGTCATGTTTGACTGTGGGCAATTTCTGGTACTTTCAGCCTTTGTGCAAATTCAGAAATGAAATAAAATATAATAAAATGGAAGGCACGTATCTTTAACAAAGAATTTATAAAACACTGAAAAAAAATTCATTTCTAAGATTATATCTAAACAATTATTAAAATTGTTGTTGTAATGAGCGGTATTGGGCCTGGTAAGACTTTTTCTCCATGTAATGTCTTGGTATTCAAATGAATGCATTTCACGGTATATAAACAAGTGAGTAGAAAGAGACCTCAATTCCCTTCAAATAAATCTCTTTTGAAGAACTTGAATTTTTTTACTCAACATTTACATGTACAATAAGTGCATAGTATTACTCATTTGAAACAGGGATTTGTATGAGAAAAAAACAAGGACTGTGAAAAGATAAACAATCGTCTTCATTACAGTTTACTCGTACATATCTAAGTGAAATTGTATTCATAAGAAAGAAGGATTCATTAATTATTAAAAGTTCTCAAAAATAGATTATTCTTATATTAAAGAAACTGATCTGTGTAATGAGATGGCTAAGAAGGTTCTATATATATGTCATATTTTATAGCAACACAATATGTATAACTATCACTCATATAATGAAAATTTGTTAAAAGATAAGCAACTAGTCATTTATGATACTCATAGATAAAGCTAATATAGGTAATCTAAAGTATGTTTGCCAGGGTGAGTGTGTAAATTTTGTACGAGTTTGTAATTATAATAAAAAAACTATATATTTTATAGATTTATTACTTATGTCAATGATATTCCAAATCAGTCTTATATATATATATATATATATATATATATATATATATATATATATATATATATATATATATATATATATATATATATATATATATATATATATATATATATATAAATGTGCCTTTTCAAAATATTGTAATTTATTTTGGCAATCAATCATGCGAACATTAAACAAAATTTAGAAAATAAATGCATTCCTATTTTTCAGCAGTCATGTATATTTTAAATTTAATGGAATTGATAAACGCTGACACATCACAACAGTACTAGGCAATTTGAAAATGACAAAGGAACAAGGGAACATATGTTAACATATGTATATAAAATCTTACATACCATAAGGAAATACAGCAGAAAAACAGCAAAAACAAGACGGTTTTCTTGATGCCGTCTTTGGCTCCTGGCACTCATTTAATAAATTCCTTGAAATGATAAAGAAACGTGTTATCAATGAAGACAAAATTAATGGTTTTGAACTGTAATCTAAGGAAGCAAATTCTCACTCCATGTAAAATTCACTAAATCTAATACATATGTATACATTTTTTGTACATTTCTATTGTTCAAAGAATTCCAAATAATTGAAAAAAACATAGACATCTAACTAAAGAGGATAATGAGAACTTAAAGTAAATTGTGTTCTAGACTTAATGCTCCATTTTTTTTTTAATTTTTCATTCTAAATTTTGTCATATACAGATTTAAATTCAAACAATGTTAAGATTTAAGAGGAGAGTATAGTTAGTCTACGCGTACAAATATAGTTTGTCCTGATTTGAAATTAGGTATATGTTAAGAAAGACTATGAATTGGTATTGACAATATGGATGGTATGAAATCAGAATTCAATTGACAGAGTATTTAAAGTCAAACATCAATATATATACCCTCCAAATATATATATATATATATATATATATATATATATATATATATATATATATATATATATATATATATATATATATATATATATATATATACAAGAACAAAACAAAACAAACAATGGGTCTCTTAGGACAGAGCCTTTTGTTAGTAAAAATAATTGTTTTGAACATATTTTATTGACAATGTCTCAAATGGATTGGACACAAGTTCTAGAACTTAGATAGTCCTCTACAATTAAATAATTAAATAATTTAATTAATTTTTTAATGAAAAATGCCAGGAAAAAGAGTTTTTCATTAATTCTTATGCATGTAAAACTGTTTCATCATTGAAATATGGCTTACCAATCCCTCCTGCCCACGTGTTCTGATTGACATGATCTCTACTGACGTAGAGTTATATGGTTCAATTTGTCATGTGACTAAAGGAAAATAATTTTTAAAAAATTTTCCTCTTTGTATCAAATTTAAACTGTTGGAAAGCGTTTATCTGATTTTTTTCCTCAAAAAGAAAAAAAAAAAAAAAAAGAAAAATAAAAGAAAAACAAATCTTTACAATTGACCCAATCACACAGGAAATATGCATGAATTGACACTGTAAAACTTCAGTTATCCTAAAACACCTGAATGTTTTTGAGAAGTTATATGATTATAAAATGTGATATATCAAAATGCATGAATGAAATTAAATATTAATTATTTGCAAAATCAGGAACTTGCAAAGAATACATCTTTCCAAAGTTAAAACGAAAGCACATATTATATAAACAACAGTTAGGTGCAACCTAAATTTAGTGTGGTGCTTTCGCATTTAAACAAGACACGTGATTTGCTTTTCTGAATTGATTGCTACGTCATAAACAAGTACTTCTTGTGTAAAATTCTTATTGAATACGTTTAAACTGATTTCTCATGCATAAAGGACATTGATTGAATCTTAAGTGTGGATTTAAAAAAAAAAAAAAAAACCCACACATACACACACACAAAGGCCAGGGCAAAACTGACCATTTGTTGGCAAATAAACATATTGATCCCGATATAAATTATTACTCGGTACCTTGTAGTGAGTGGATAAAAAAGGGAAGAACTAACAATAATCAAAGGGACAAATACGAATTTACTTTCATAAAGAATATCGAAGTGAAACCGTTATTCGATAGCTTTGATTAAAATATCATTGTTTTTTCTACACTGGATCGGATCGGAGAAACAAATAGATATGTCTAACCTACTAGAGATAGGTACGCTACTAGATTTTTACCAGATGCTGGTCATATCGGGTCAGATACAATATCCTTTTCCAGTCCTCATAGTGTATAGCGATGAATTAGTATACGACTACTTTGCGACTTTGGTAATAATTAGTTTCTAAAAACGATTAATCTTTTAATTATCAACAGAACACAAACACAACCTCTACATTAAATGTGTAAGGGTGATGATTTTTTTAAATCATAATAAATACTATTTCATAATAGTAAATAATAAAATGGATAGAATAATTTATATTCTCATTTTCTAAATTTTTTAAATTAAGAATATCCTTTATTTTTTGTGGATAAATCAGTGCTTAATTTTCCATTATTTAAAAAAAAACCCACAGAAAACATGGTAATAAAATGGATTTTTATGACAGTAGATACTACGATCAATATTTGATTGACCTTATATATATGACCTACTGCAAAGAAACCTAGCTCATACCACGAAAGACAACCCTGTTATTACAAATACAATACACGTCTGCCTTTCTTACTCTTCTTAATCTAACAGAAAAAATATGTTTTCTGATGGTTTATACTAATTTTCCTAAAAATGGCACTATGAATGCAATATAATTTTACAGATTCAGGGATATTGATGTTTAATTGTATTTTTTATCATCCCTGCATTTTTTTTTTTACAAAAAAGTTAAACAAAACCTTTTAGATTGTATATTGTTTGCTGCAACAAGGGCAAAATATTTCAGTTATGTTTTGAATATTACATTGCATATCGTAAACTCATTTGCATCCAAAATTTATTATGAATAAAACTTTAATGTCAAATCTACTAACATACACTTCTGTAGGATTCTGGATTTATAATGAAGCAATTTGTCAGTTTTGAACAAGTGTAGAGAGCAATCATGAAGACTAATGATGAAAGCCTTCTCGATTTTTTGGAGTGACAGTTAACTTTCTCAACGTTGATAGTAATAATTCTAACTAAGAAGGAAATGCTTTAAATATTTTGAAGCAGTGATGTCTTTAGGATCCATACACGTTTATTTTATTATTTTTTTTTAATCTGAGTCTTCAAAACATGCTGTTGTTTTTCAGTTAAAATTTAAATCCTATCGGTTTATTATTGGCCGCAGCAGTGGCCGATCTATTTGTGGTTGTGTTAGAATGTGCACATGGGGAAATGAGACGTTATTTTTTTATTGCTTTGTTGTAATAATACCTTATTGATAACAAACATAAAAGTTACGAATAGCCTTAAAAATTTACTTAAAACTAAGTCAAAATAGTTGTTATTATGTTTCAATTTGTTTTTTATTTCTCGCCAGATATTTATTTATTTAATGATTTTACAAAAAGTTGTTTCATGAACTGCTCCCTAACATGGGCGTGCGTAAGATATAAGAGGAAAACGTATTGAGCTTCCGGATATGAATAACAGTGCCTAAAATAACTAATAAATTGGAATAACTGAATTTTGTTTTGAATTTACACTGGAGTTGCAAGTGACACAATGTTTTTTTATGCACTTCACATACATAGCTATCACAACACTGATTGGCATTATAAAGGTGACAAAAATCCAGGGTACATGTATCGGCGCGTGAACCTTGTGTCCTTTTTTCTCAGCATTCAAACATTCATAATCAATTATTTTAAATATTTGTTGCATTTGTGCTGGAGTCAAATCATTTGATGATAATATATTTCTGCAGAAATATGCCACCATATAGTCTATCCTTTATTGTAGTCCGATTTTCATATTAATGAATATATTTTTATTTGCATAAATATTTAACAATTGATCACTGAAAACTAGTGTAAAGAATGCACAGAAAAGTAAAGCAAATGTAAAAATGTATCATATACTTTTCCCATTTGGATTTTTTCTTTGGACTCTTTCTTGTGGAAATTCTTCAAAATGAAATATATTTTTGCTGCCGATTTGATGCTTTGCGTCAATTTAACTTGTCATGTATTCAGTGGTTGCGACAGACATTAGAAGATGCATTTATTATTGTATCGTTTCCCCCTTGTCTTTTATTTCCCTTTCAAGCACGTTTTTAGGAAGGACTTCAGTAAAATATTCTTAGTTATTTACAACTAGATTTTCATTTACATCTTATTATTTTATCTTTTAGATTGTTTAAATGTTTGTTCTAGGAAACATATGATTCGTTTTTTGTTTGTTGTTCAACGTCCCTCCCGAGAATTTGTCACTCATATGAATATGCCATGGAGGGCTGCAAATTTTGACCAATACTCGGCACTCAGGGCCACTGAGCAGAGAGGGATCTTTTTCGTGCCAGCACCTACAGCGACACAGGACCTCGGTTTGTGCGGTCTCATCCGAAGGACTGGTCTCCACGTCCCGCAGTGGGATTCGAACCCGCGACGTAAGGATCAACTCCTGACATCGCGACTCTAGAGCAAACGCTCTAATTACTGCGCTACGCAGGCGACCGTATGATTCGTGTATGGAAGACAATTTCATTTTATATATATATAAAAAAAACCAATGCAAATGCACTATCTGTAGCCAAGATCTGGGCAATATACTCCCTGATTTTTTTTCTATTTAAATTCTGTTTGGTTACTGTAAAAAGAGTTTCTCTTCTAGGAAATCTTTATATTGTGCATATTGAGAGGTCTGATTCATTCAGTTTTATAATTAATCAATTAGCATGTTTTTGTTTCAAATTCCGCTTTAAATTGTTCTATTTGTTTTCCAGATCCTCGATATTCCAGACTCCCCAACTTTCTTTGTTTTCTGTCAGCCTTATTTGTTCTAATGAAAGTTTTGACGAAAATCATAATATTATACATTTAGTATATATAAACAATAATTATTATTCAACTAAATGCATTCAAGTACGTTATTTTTGTAAATACAATTAATGCAATAGGTCTCAAGTCCTTTTAGTGCATTTCCTGTTATTTGCATACTGTTTTAATTTATTTCCTCATATGAAGATCAAAACTTGAGGTAATTCTACGCAAATCCTTCCTATAAGGACTTAACCTTGTAATCAAAGGGTTTACTGTTTCACCTCCCTCCCCATCCCCCAATCTACGGTAACATTAAATTTCAAACAAGAATTTTTTTTAGATGTCCACATTTCATTGCAAACCATTTTTATTACATCAGTATAATATTTGATTTATTCTGTTGATTTCAAATCTTAATTCTTTTTAATGTTTCCCAATTTTTTTTTTTCTGTATTTCTTGAATATGGAAATTCCATTCCAAAAAGTAAAAGTTTCTGCTTGTTGGATATAGAAGAATCGACCAAAAGCACGTTTCACGG